CTCTCGCACCTTTGTCGCTCGCAAGTCTGGCTGCAGCGTGTAGGGGACTGATATAAATTTAAACCATGTTTAAACGTTATTACGGTACGGTAAGTAAAAGCTAGCGCTATTTGGAATACTGAAAACTGTAATTAAATTTCGCTATTTCTTTAGTATGAAGCGGTTACCTGACCTTAAGTCCTTAAAATAGTATTCTAATTTTTTGACCTTCGACATTTTACCCTCGCCCTCGACATTTTACCCATGCCAAACATATGTTGAAGTCATGAAGACGCCGTTTCTCGCATCAGCCTAGCTGAATATATGCATTAAATTCAATTTTCAAACGTTTGGGTGCCTGGCAAGAATTTCTGAATTATGCGCCTGGCAAACATTGCGGATGGCAAACAAACCCAATGCTAAGGCCCTTTAAAAGACAATTCGCGGGGTTGATGTCGATAATTTTACAGTATAAATTCTTGGCCAAGTTATTATTAACTTCACTGCCGATACTCGCGTCAGGTCGGGTGCCTTCATTTTTTCCAACAACCCGCGTGGCCGTCAAAGTGATCGAGGTGAAAGCGCAATATCTCTCCAGTAAAAGTCTGCGTGTACATCTTCAGAAAGTTAGAAATATAACGAGAATTATGGATTTTAATGAAAAATTGCAATGCAGTTTTAGTTTGTTTGTTTAATAAAAACATCATCTGGCAGTCAGAAGACTGAATTACATGACGTTAAGTGTTACAAGGTTATAAATAGTAAAAAATTCTATATTACAATGCAATTTAAAAATTGTTAATATATACTATATATCATATACTTAAATGTACTAATCTATATGAGTTAAAAATTCTAAAATGTTCAAGGAACATCTAATTTGTAATGTTTCTTAGCATAAAAGTTGATAAAAGAGTTTCCGAAACGATTTGTATTTGCTGGTAAAACTTCAAAAGATCTTTCTTTTCGTAATTCTCTATTGCCTGCTTTGGATGGTAAAAGTTTGGCAAGTTTATGATCATCATTTAAAACAATGTCGTTGAAGAGATTATTGGATAGATACTCCCGTCTGTTTTCAAGAGTGGAAATACCAGCGATGTTAAGAGCCTCGTCGTAAGACAATTCATAGAATATTATTTTCATTGCTCGCTTCTGTATACGTTCAATGTTTTTTGCAAGATTTCGTGGCAGGGAACTATGGAATAATTGGCACGCATATTCGAGGACAGACCTTATACAGCTGCAAAAAAATTTGACCAAATCTGCCGAAGCGACATCAGCACGTTTGAGTTGCCTCAACAAATATAAACGTTTAGCTGCTTTGGAGACAATTGAATTTACATGGTCTATCCATTTAAGGTCATTTCTTAATATAACTCCAAGCGATTTGATACTTGTCACTCTTTCCAAATTTCGGTCACCAATACGTATAGGTTCAAAAACAGGTGGTAATCGTGAAAAGGATATTACCATTTCTTTGCATTTAAATGGGTTTAGTTGAAAGGAATTGTCCATAGACCAAGTAGTAATATCATCGATATCCATTTGTAAAGTACTTTGTTCGTTTTTTCAACAATTTCAGAGACCGTAGTATCGTCGGCAAATTTCCACATTTCTGAAAGGTGATTATGTAACACAAGGTCATTTATCATGGCTAAGAATAGCCAAGGCCCAAGTCGTGTGCCTTGAGGGACACCAGCTGGAACTTGGAGCCAGTCTGAGAAACAATTATCACTTAGTTTGACCCTTTGCCATCTATTACGTAAAAAGTCAATAATCCAGTTAACCACACAGGGCTTAATACCAAGGCTGAATAATTTCGCAACTAATGTGGTGTGATCTACCATGTCAAATGCTTTTTTATAGTCAAGAAATACAGTGCGAACAGATGAACCACTTCCATCTGTTGCACTCAACCAACAATGGAGCATCGATATCAAGGCAAGTACAGTGGAAGAATTTGGAATAAAGCCAAATTGTTGGGGATCAACAACCTTTAACAGGGGCCCCCCATGATTTTTACGTGACGCGTGTTTAGCTGTTATTTCAAGCGTTATCACGTGATCAAGTTATTTTTGGTGCGTGAAATCGTGAATTTAAATGTTGGCGAGAGTAGGGAAAAGGCCAATTGAAACGGCGGATTTCGTGATTACTTTACCAAGTAACGTGATTACGTGCACCAGAATTGAAGCTAACTTTAAAAAATCGCCCCCAAAAGGCAGCAAAACAGAACAAGAGAGCAACTTATTTGGCCTTAATAGCCCTTAATAATGATTTCAGGCTATTTCGACGACTCGGCACATTCCCACTTCCGGACTGCTACTTTCAAACTTTCGGAGGACTTTAAACTGCCGAAGTCGGAAGGGAGACATCATTTCTTCTTGGTGGACGTTCGAGATATGGAAGACATACCTAATTTTAGTGTGCAGTGATAACCAATTTGTGCAGTGATAAAAATGATTGTGCAGTGATTAAATGTAAAATGTGCAGCAATAAAATTTGCTGTGATAAATTGTTAATTTTATGAAGAAAATGAGGCAATGAGCAGAAAAAACTGAACTAAAAACTCGTCTCGTCACTAGAAAGTATTAATAATCAAAACATTTTAAATGAGAATAACTTGAATGAAATTGAAATAATAACTGCCAATTTATCGAACGTCAGCATTAATATTATACTTAAGTTTCATCAAATGAACAAGTCTCCCATCAAAGATCTCTTTATGAGCTTGGATGTTGGTGTGAATGATACTTAACTTTTTGTAATTATATTAGTGTATAATCTTCAGGATTCTATAGAATGCCCCCGCACATTGAAAAAAGACCCTTTGAGAGAGGCTAAATTACAAAATTTTCTGTGGGTACATGCCCCTGGAACTCTTTTACAGTTTATCACATCTAAGCCGCCTCTTATTTGCCAAGAAAAAAATATTTTGTTCCTGCAAGCATATGATTATCAAACTACGCTGTCATAGAAAGTCGTAACAGCAAGTGCTGTCAAGGCCGCCCAGAGGAAGGACAGGGAGGGGGCAATTTGAGCTGGACCCCAGTTAAAGGTAGCCCAAAAAAGAATTACATTGAAATATTCATATAGGTATAAGTGCCAACAAACGTCCAGAATGCAGGATTTGGCCATAATTTCTGGCACCTGAGATTTCAAAATTTCCCTGGGGAGAATGCCCCCGGATCCCCTTAATCATACTGTTAGAAGATGGAATCACGAGGGGTCACAACTCAATTTTTGCCCTGGCCCCCCAAATTTCCCTGGGGGGCGCCGTGCAGTGCATGTTGATTGGTTACATGTTACTAAAAATGGTGCGTTCAGTAATTTTGAGGGCGTGGCTTCTGCTCGGCTAAACTTTGCACAAAAATGTGCAGTGATAAAAAATTCTTAAAATTAGGCATGATGGAAGAACAGTTCGTTTCAATAGTAGATTTGCTTGAGGTGAGCCGCTAATTTCTTAAGATTGTTCATTAACGACGTAGTTTCATGTTTCTCGATTTGCCAGTTTTAGATGCTCAATGAATTAAACAGTATGTTTAAATGCGTTTCAAAATACCTGTTGACCATGTTGTCTTTACCAATGGTAGTCTTGTTGGAGATAAGATTAAAATATTTGATCAGAAAATTCGGTAAATTAAGTGTCAAACAGAAAAATGCGCACCATCAGTACCATTTTCTGCACATGTTCGACGCCCTAATACATTCTATCAAATTCAGTAAGTATGCTATAGTTTTTGCCCCCGCGTGAACGTGAAATTAGCTATTTCTTTTTCGTGACGTGTTATTCGGAATTTTTTTTGGCGTGAATGCGTGAATTCAAGGGGCTCATGGGGGGCCCCTATATTAGGGTATTAAAGAGACACGACTAAGTGAATTTCAACACAGAATTTCAATCAGACATTTCAATTTTTCATTATTAAATGTATTTTTGACGTTGAAGTTACCTTCATAACTTTAGTTCATTCATGTTTGTGATTGATGTTCAAGCGTACATTTTTAGTATGCAGCATATTCGCAATATTCGCGTATTCGGATTTCGGCAGCGTATATATAGCACATTCAAATGTTGGATTACTGGATAGCGCACAATTACTGCTAGTGAATACAGCGCAATCCGCTTTGCGTGTTGTGGTTTCCCCCTCTGTCTGCTGGCATTTCATAGTCAAGTGCGGCGGATAAATAAACCATTGAATAAACTAAGTGCATCACACGCAGTCATATCAAAACTGACAAAAAGAATCGCCGCGCAATTACGAAACATGTTTTACTTCGTAATATGTAGTGCTACAACGATGTTCATTCTTTGTTTTATTAACTGTGGTTAGTTAAAAATCAAAATTCCTTGCATATAATATTTTATACATTGAATTGCGCCCCCCCCCCTGTAAATTATTATTATGTATATCTCCTGTGGTGCAAAATGCTCTAATTTGCATAAATTATGCTCGGTTCCAGGTTCCGGTTCCAGGTTCCGGTTCCTGTATCGCTGTATCGTTGAATCGCTGTATCGCTTTTTAGTAGTAGCCGTTTTAAACGATGTCCGTATCTATGTTCCTACTTGACTGAGATAATCCATGCAGCTTGGTCACGCGGTGTTGTTCCATCTGAATGGAAAAAAGCATGCACAATATTAATTCACAAGAAAGGAGAAACAAACGACCCAGCAAACTTTCGACCAATTACTCTTGAATCCATCCCGCTTAAAGTCTTCACATCATGTCTTCGAAATAAAACATTTGAATTCCTGTCAGACAATAAATATTACATAGAACAAAACATCCAGAAAGGTTTCACTCCAAAACTCTCAGAAACACTAGAACATACTGCTCAGATGGCACATATAATTAACACAGCGCGTACCAAGCAACGATCTATAGTTATTACATTACTCGATCTTAAAAATGCATTTGGCGAAGTCCATCATAACCTCATTTACGAAGTCCTTGATTATCATCACGTTCCTAATCACATAAAGAACCTTATCTGCAGTCTTTACACTGATTTCCAAACTTCCATCTTAACCGAACAGTTTAACACCCCCTTCATTACAGTCGGTCGTGGCGTTCTTCAAGGCGATTGTCTCAGTCCACTTTTATTTAACATGTCATTCAATACTTTCATACAACATATTAAATCTGAAAAATACCGTCAGCTTGGTTTTTGGAAATTAAGTGAAGTTGGCATTCCGTGCAATCCTATACATTGGTTTCAGTTTGCAGACGATGCTGCTGTCATCAGTAGCCAAGAGAAAGAAAATCAAATGCTCCTTAATCGTTTTACAATCTGGTGTCAATGGGCTAATATGATTATACGCGTTGACAAATGTTCAACATTTGGCATTAAAAAACACTTAACTAAATCTATCCAGTATTTACCCAAGCTTTTCGTTAATAACGATCTTGTACCCAGAACCGAAATGGGCAAATCTTTCCGTTACTTAGGTCGCTATTTCGATTTCAATATGTCTGATGAGGAACACAAATCGGAATTACTCGACGTGTTTAATGACATCATGAATAAAATTAATGAACTACCTTTACACCCGAAAAATAAAATTCTACTATACAGTCGTTACTTGCTGTCAAAGATATCCTGGGACTTAACTGTTTCTGATATATCTAAGACCTGGATCTGCGAAACGTTAGACAGTATTGCGACAAAATATATCCGAAAATGGCTGGAACTTCCTGTCTCTGCAACCCTTAGCAACGTGTTGCTTCCACAAAACAAATTTGGTCTGAATATTATTCTCCCTTCGACAAAATTTATCCAATGTCAAACTGTCTCTCGATCAGCTTTAAAATACTCACCAAACGTAGATATTAACAATCTATGGGCGGTGACGAGCACCAACAAGAACATACAGTATGACATTTACAAAGACACAAAAGACGTACTTAAGGCAGTTAGAAAAGAAAACGAACAAAGACTTCAAAACCACCTCATTTCGCAAGGTTCTTTCTTTTCCAGTATCATGAATCATTCCACATCCACATTCAACTCTTTATGGTCATCCGTTCAGAGCAAACTTCCGAAAAACATTTTTAACTTCACCATCCGATATATCAATAACACACTTCCAACACGAAAGAACCTATCAAAATGGGGACTATCATCAACATCCGATTGCTCTTTCTGCTCCTCACCTGAAACGCTGCTCCATGTGATTGCTGGATGTAAGACATATTTAGACGAAGGCCGGTTTACATGGCGACACGATTCTGTTTTAAATTTCCTCGCATCCACTCTTACTGCTGTGAAAAATTCCACACTTTACGCGGACATTCCTGGTTTTATGAATCCATCTGTTATCACGGGAGATCGTTTACGACCTGACCTTCTGCTGGTGACTGAAAACAGATGTCTATACATCCTCGAGCTTACAGTCGGTTATGAATCCAATCTGCTAGTTAACGCCAATCGTAAGCGTCAAAAGTACCGTGATCTAATCAATGAGCAGGAAGCAGATTATGATAAAGTCAAGTTCGTCAATTTATCCTTGAGTACCCTCGGAGTTTTTGGCCGATCTTGTAAAAATTTCGATGGCATGCTAAGTAGCCTTAAATGTGATGCCAAGTATAGTAAATACATAAAAAAGCAAATCGTGAACATATGCATACGAACATCATATTATGTATTTTGTAAACGAAACAAGGTGTGGGATAACCCAAAATTAATGTTAATATAATCCTTCTTAAAATAATTATTGTACAATAAATATATAGTATCAATTCAAGTAGACATTGATAAACTACCTGTAAAGCGAGGTTTATCATTGTAGTTGTATATATCCTAATAATAAATAAATAAAGTTTCCATTATTATTATTATTATTATTATTATTATTAAAGCGCAATATCTCAAGAGTAAAAATCTGTGCGTACATCTTCAGAAAGTTAGGCCCTGGGCAAACTAGGAAACACTGTTGCGGAGAAATTGTTTCCTACTAATGTTTTGCCATGTTTTCAAGAGTGAGCAAACACTAGGAAACATTAGTAAGAAACATAGGGAAACATCAAATGTTTCTAAATTCGCTAAGAAACATTTTTGCTTCTTGAGAATCACAAATGTTTCCACAACAATGTTTCCTATAGTTTACCCAGGGCTTTAGATATATAACGAGAATGAAAAATTGCAATGCAGCATTATTGCGTATTTGTATTTTAAAAATTAATCCCAGTGACCTTGAGATGTCACCTGATACTATACAGTAACATATTAACATTTAAGTAATTAAGGTGTCATGATCAATTGTTACGTTGTTACTAACATATTAGTGAGTTTGGCAAATACAACAGTAACGTCAGTGTCAGTGAAGACGTGATCATCAACAATAGAATTTTCAAAGGTGATTATAAATTGTATTCCCTTGAGCATTTTAGTACGCTGTTAATTACGCTGTAGTTGTTCAAACTACTACCGTAAAGCCCGCCGCACACGAGAGCAACTTGCTGAGCTAACCGCCTCGCGTGGCAGCTAGCTCAGCTTTGTATTTTCACCGCACACGTTGGGAAAACTACTCAACAACAACATAAATGACAAAATCATTTGCATTTTCCTCCATTTTGTTCCAATTCACATGAAGAAACCATGGTTTGTCATTGGCTAATTGATTCAAACAGCTCAGCACTTAGCTCACAACATCCGCAGACGCTGAGATTTTTTCCTCGCGAGGCGAAAAATATCAAACACGATAGATATTTTCCTCAAGGCCTCGCGAGGCGGTTAGCTCAGCAAGTTGCTCTCGTGACCGGCGGGCTTAACGTTATTATGCATAATTTTCACGGCTTATGAACACGCTAACAGTTAGAACGTTGGAAGTCGTTTCCGGTGTTTTGTGTGGGGATTCACTGATTGTTCGTCTGTTACTTAAGGGTCGCTTAAAAGAAAGATAATACTTTTAACAGGCAAATAATGCTTTGTCGGTTGCCAAACTCCCTATATATATTATCATTCGAGACAGGTCATGAACTACGATGGAAAATGTATCGAGTTACGACTGTTTTTCCCTCTTCAAAGCCTCTCTAAAATCACTATAATCTTGAAAACCGGTCTCTTTTGTGACAATTTCATTCCACATTTCTTGAGCAGCTTGCTTGGTCCACTCGTCCATTATTTCGCGCCCTTTTGTTGCAGAACCCGTAGCAACACGGTGAAGTCTGACTCCTTCTGATATTCCCAACGCTTTATTCCGATGACTTGATACGAGGTTGGATGCGAACTTGTCTCGACTTTGCTTCATGAAATCAAATGTGCTCATTTTCACGGCATTTGTTATACTAGCTTCATCATCAATACCCATGAACGATGCCACGGCCCTCACTGCACTTCCCAAGTCATCCAACATATCTTCGTATAGAAGAAACAATACATTCGGATCATTTCGTTTCGGCCACCAGCTCAGCAAATGCTGGAAGTAATTCGCACGAATCTTTTTATTGGGGGAAATCATATTTTTCACGAATTCATCAAGCGTTACTTCTTCTGGTTGAAAATGTATTCCTGTAAAAAAATTGAATGCACTGTAGAATGATGCACAAGGCTCCCGATAGACAAGAATATATTTTCCGCCTTTAGGACAGACGTCATACGAAGCGTGGGTCTTGAAGCATCTAGGCTGATATTTGTGTTCGGCATCGAGGTCTAGTCCGACATCATAAGCCAATTCAATCCATGGAACAACTTCGTCGATGTCTGTAAAGGTCATATCGCCTCCGCTACGCAGTTGATGCATAATCTGTTGCATCCACGTTGTACCACATTTCATTGGTGTAGCAACAATCACATCACTTGATCGAGGAACGAAACCTAAGACCTTCTGCCTGCCTTCCATTGTCGTTAGACGTGACATTCTCTGATTCAGCCGTTCTATGGCTGGATTTCCTCCCTGTGATGTCGACATTACTAATACTGACAGTATAAAAGTATAGCTTTTCCCAAAAGGTATTTGTTGTTCGATGATATAGAATGTATTATATGTAAAATCCATGCACTTGCGTCATCACGCGAGTATTGCATAATATAGCCAGTCAATGATAGCCAATGCTGTTCAAGGTCAGGGTCAGATAAAAAAACCCGGAATGATTCCATGCAGGAGTCAGTAAATCCGATGGAAATCGGAATCTGTTAAACCCGGAACGGGAAGAGCCAGAAGGTGCTAATTAAAGCCCCCTCTTGTTCGGCAGGCCTTTCTAACTATTGTTTAATTAGTTTAATTAAATTCGTCGCAAAACATTACAACAACAGTAAACTATACATAGCTAGTACATAAATCTACAGGCATACATACAGGCCCTAAGGGTTTGGAAAAGCCGGAAATCGATTCTACAAGTCAAATTACTCCCAGTATTGCAGTGGCATGGTTTACACGTGCATCGGGCTACATATAGCCAAGCATACACCTGGCGCGTGCGTGCTAGTAAAACCCCGATATTTTGAAAAATTCAAAATAAATATTTCTATTCTGTGCCGTATTCAAACGAAACTTTCTACATGAAAGCGCTTGAATAGCAGGAGCATTTTACTCACATTGACTCTAAGCAGATTCTGAAGAGTTAAGAAGTTATTCATGTGATTGGTCTTAAATGATGAACGAGAAACAAATTTGTGCAGGAAACATAGGGGGATATAACCTTCATGTGCAGGCTTGCCATGCTACCAATGATGAAACGTGGAAATGAGGCCATTGGGTTAAAAATAAACTTCCCTTTAGAGAATTGTCTAGAAGTATAAACGTTTGCATTCAGTTCATGTGGAAAAAAGGCAGCACTTTCCTTGCGATAGTAACTCCTAGTTTATTGTATATATGTAAGTATGTTCTGTGTAAAGCTAGGCACTCTGAAGAAGGCTGTGGCATGCAGCCGAAAATTTAGTTTTTGTATCTAATATATATTTTTTTTAATAAACTTCTTCAAACGTAGCCGTTCTGTTTGTCACATATGAAGTCTTGTCGGCTGAGCAGAGTACTAGCATTTGTCACACACACACACACATATATATATAGTATCTATATATATATATATATATATATATATATATATATATATATATATATATATATATATATATATATATATATATATATATAGTATATATAGTATATATAGTATGCTTGTGTGGTATGATATGATGTTACTCTGAGTGTATATCCACACCGGGCAGGCTTGAAAAATATGCCTGGCCACGGTGGGAATCGAACCTCATGGTACATTACACCAACACAGCAAATATATAGCATAACAGCTGTCCACAGTTGCCGTTGTTTGAGCTTTCCTTGAAGGGCGCTACAATGTCTTTACTTATGTGCTTTATCGCCGTTTTTAAACCGTGAAATGCAGTGAGCGTGCGCATAAAGGCTTAGGCATAATGTGTAGTATATAAAGTTCTGTAGTGTCCCACATCCACCACACTGTCTTCTATAGTATATATATTCTTGGTATGTGGAAGCTCATCATCGGTGCACTGTGCTGATGAGCTCCAAAAAGGCGAAACAGCTGTCCACAGTTGCCGTTGTTTGAGCTTTCCTTGAAGGGCGCTACAATGTCTTTACTTATGTGCTGTATCGCCGTTTTTAAACTGTGAAATGCAGTGAGCGTGCGCATAAAGGCTTAGGCATAATGTGTAGTATATAAAGTTCTGTAGTGTCCCACATCCACCACACTGTCTTCTATAGTATATATATTCTTGGTATGTGGGAGCTCATCATCGGTGCACTGTGCTGATGAGCCCCAAAAAGGGCGAAACAGCTGTCCACAGTTGCCGTTGTTTGAGCTTTCCTTGAAGGGCGCTACAATGTCTTTACTTATGTGCTTTATCGCCGTTTTTAAACTGTGAAATGCAGTGAGCGTGCGCATAAAGGCTTAGGCATAATGGGTAGTATATATATATATATATATATATATATATATATATATATATATATATATATATATATATATATATATATATATGTATATATATATATATATATATATATACCGGGTGTCCCAAAAAAACTTGCGCTGTTTGATTTAATGTAACATAAAAACTATAAAAGCTATTGCACTCAAATAAGTTATATTGTATTCAGAAAGGGCTAACTTAGATTTTGATATATAATATTTGAATATCCGTGCAATATTTACTGAACTATCGTTGTTTTAAATCGAATAAGAATATTTGACAATGTTACAAATTTACATAAAATTGCTTATCAAATATTATTTGGTTAGAGTTGATTATATAGTTTTAGACTTTGATCTTTTGTTAATCGAGACATATTCGAAAGGCGAACGAGGATTAATCAGTTTTATCAGTAATACGAACTCTCAAAGGACGTCAAATATGTTTTCGAACCGTTTTTAAACTGTTTCATGCTTATTTTGCTTCCCAAGAAACGCGAAAGGTTAATTTATACTAGGTCATTAC